TCCGCCCCCCCCCCACCCCGGGAGAGGTGTTTTGGGATGATCCGTGTCATCATCTGCTGATGGGATGCACCCATCTCATGGTCTTTGCCAGCCCCCCCCCATCGCCAGCGGAGATGGGGGCTCATGGGTTTAAGCAGATAAATTGAGCAAAGTTTGGGGTTGCTCTGGATGCAACATTTGCTGGCTGCCCCCTGGTCAAACCACACATGGAAAACAAACCAGGTAGGGAAAAAAACCCTACCCAGCCTCTGGGCACTGATTTTCCAGCGAGTTCAACCGCCTGAACCGAAGCGCAAAGTAAATCCCCACCCAGCAGGTCGGGCAGGAAAAGAAACCAGTTGCCCCAAAAGCCCCAGACAGCAGCATCAACAAACGGCAACCCTTCCCGTTGGAGCAGGCAGGAGGATCAGACAGCAAAGGAGCCCGCAGGGGCTTGTTCCATTTCGTTCATTTGTTTTGCAAATTGCGAGGTTGGTTTGGGGTTACTCATTTTTTTTTTTCTTTTCCTTAAAAAGGAAAAAAAAAAAAAAGAAAAAAAGGAAGCAACCCAACGTTTCTGTTGGCGGATCCTGTGCCGCCATGTTATGCGTGGGGTTTTTTTTGTTGTTGTTGTCTTTGTTACTTTTGGAACGTTACAGATTTATTTGCTAATCAGTGTTAATGAACAGTTTAAAACTTTTAGACTCCCCCATTTCTGTGTATTTATATAGATGGAAAAAAACCCCCTGTTATATTTTGTATCTTTGTGCCCATAATGTTGTCGCGCGTGTAAGGATGACTTTGGTCGCACCACGTCCGTGTGTGAATGTGACTCTGCTGTTGTCTTCCCATTGTACAGATGTTGGATTCTTTGCAGTTCATTGTATGGCTTTATAAAGTGGTAAAAACAAAAAAAATCAGTTATATAAAATATACTGTTGCTTGGAATGCCAGCTTGGTGTCTGGATCGCTGGAAATGTATCTTGAAATTTAAGGGAGCGCAGGAATAAATGCTCTGTTCTTTTTGCACAGGGAAAAAAAAAAAACCTAAAACCCGGTGGGTTCTGTGTTTTCTCTGGGCTGTCGTTCCCCCCGTTCCTCGACGGCAGATTGGGGCCCCCGGACAGATGCCGGGCGGTGGGCGTGGGAAGAAGGAGGGGTTGTGCTGCTGTTTGTCAGCCTCCAGCCGCAGTTTGTGTTCACCAGATGCTTGCTAACCAGACAGCCCCAAAACTTCCTACATGGCTCCAGCTCCACCTTGGGCTTTTGTTTACCAGGAGGGATCTCTCTGGCTTGCCCTGCCAGCACTGGGTGCTCTTCAAATCCTGCTGCTTTCTCCCAGGTTGCCTTTAGGTGCTGTCTGTCCAGCCCCGCGCATCCCCTTTGAGTCCGTCTCCTGCAGGGGAGCAGGATGGGATGATGCTGGTACGGAGTCTTTTGCCTTTGCCGAGGTCTGCTCCTGTTAAATCCTGCTCCCTGCCCCTTTTGGAGCCATCCTGCTCCCCCGTGCCTGGTAAAACTGCCCCCGAAGTCTCAGGCCTCACTTTTCCAGCTCTCACAGAGCAATTCCCAGCATCCGTCAGAGCCCTCAGCCCCCGGCTCTCTGGCTCCGCTCCTTCCCCTCCTCACTGAGTTGGTGGCCCAGACCCGGCCCCCGGGATGGATTGAGTTTAATTATACAAGAAATATCAGTCAGAGCAGCGGCAGTTTCTCTGGCGCCAGCGCTGCTGCGGCTCAGAGGCTCAGAGCTTCTCCCGGGAGCCGACAGCACTAAAAATACCTCCTGCCTTTCTCTAAAATAGCTGCAGGGCAAGGGGCGGATTGAGGGGGCTGCTTGCGCGGGGACCCCATGCTGTGGGGCTTGTGCTGGGAGGCGAAGGCAAGAGGGGTAAAAAAAGAAAGGGGAGGAGATGGGATGGTTTCTGGCCCCCCAGAAATAGCTGTGGGGCTGTGGGTGGGCACCCAAGCGGCATGTCCTCTGAGCCAGGCTGCACCACTGGACCTCGGGAAGTACCTGGCGTCTGCCAGCCTTGGCCTTGGCTGTCCCCCGTCTACCTGCCAGCAAGACAGGACCTGCAGCCTCCTCTCCCTATCTGACACAACGGGGATGGTATTTTCTTGCCAGCTTCTCTTGGTTTTGTTTCTTCCCTGATTCCTGCTGGAATCTACCCCTCAGGAGCCGGCACCAGCTGCTTGCCCGTTCCCGGTGCTCC